GGAGGGAGGGAGAGAGGGAAGGAGGAAGGGGAGGAGGGAGGGAGGGAGAGAGGGAAGGAGGAAGGGGAGGAGGGAGGGAGGAGAGGAGGGAGGGAGGGAGGGAGGGAGGATACAGGAAATTGAGTGGGGCCTGAAACTGCTGGCTTCCTCTCTCCTACTCCGTAGAGCCTCCAGTCCTGATTGTCACCCCACTGGAGGACCAGCAGGTATTTGTGGGTGACCGAGTGGAAATGTCAGTAGAGGTGTCTGAAGAGGGTGCACAGGTCATGTGGTGAGTTGAGCTTTGGTTTCTGCGCTGAGCACAGACAGGTGTCTTTAGGCTCTTCACCTCAGCCTTGGTCTTTAGTGGACCTAAAACTCTCTGGGAGACACCGATCCCAACCCAGGAGGCACCTGAGACCTCCATTACCTTTAAAACTCCCTCTTTACTCTTGACCTCAATTCTAGAACTGGCCTCTGTCCCATCCCTCCTGTTGTACTGAACATGAGTTCATCTACCAGCCAGTCATTTGCCCTTGGATGTATCCACCTATGCATCTGTTATCCACCTGCCCATCATCCTCCCACTCATCCATCATGTACCCATTACCTGCCCATCACCCATCCATTATCCGTCACTCACCTATCATGGCTGCATGCATCCGTCTTTCTGTGATACGCCCGCCGCCATTCCATCCACTATCCCTCCATGAATCGGCCATACACCCTTCTATAATCCATTTACCTGTCATCCTTGCCCCAGCCATCAGTCCATCTCTGCATCACACACTCACTGAGCTATCCATCACCCCTGCACTCCTCCATCCTCTCCATCTTCATCCGTCCCACCCCATCCTTCTACTCCTTTTCTCCTCTTTCATCCATCCATTATCAATCTATCTGTTCATATCTTCATTTCTTCGTGTCTCCATCATCTCCCTACCCAGCCTCTCCGTTGACTCACTCAGCCACTCACCTACCATCTTTCAATCCGTCGCTGTCAAGCCACCCTTCATCCATTCATCCCCATCCAGACCAATCACATGCCGGTCCATCCCTGCTCTATCCACAATCCACCCTTCCACCTTGAGACTGCTGACCTGCCTTCTCTCAACTCAGGATGAAAGACGGTGTGGAGCTGACACGGGAGGATTCCTACAAGGCACGCTACCGCTTCAAGAAGGATGGGAAACGACACATCCTCATCTACTCTGATGTGGCCCAGGAGGATGGAGGCCGCTATCAGGTCATAACCAATGGAGGCCAGTGTGAAGCTGAACTCATCGTGGAAGGTACGGCTTCCTCTCAGAGGGCTGGATGAAAGCTCTGAGGCTCCAGATCAGAGTGTCCTCTTCTACCCCAACATGGCCAGACTCTCCATCCTGTGCTCACACTGGTGCAGCAGGCATCATGACCTTCCTGCTGCATTGACACTTCTTCCCCCAACTCAACACATACAACACTGAGTGAGATCTACTTGATGTAGAGTCCACAGGATTTTACGTTTTGTGAGTCTATGCTTCTTTTTTCTTTTTTCTTTTTTCTTTTTTTGTTTTGCTTTTTTTTGAGACAGGGTTTCTCTATATAGTCCTGGCTGTCCTGGAACTCACTCTGTAGACCAGGCTGGCCCCGAACTCAGAAATCCGCCTGCCTCTGCCTCCCAAGTGCTGGGATTAAAGGCACGCACCATCACCACCCGGCGAATCTATGTTTCAAAAGAAAGAAAGAAAGAAAAAAAAGTAAAACAAAAACCTATGAAAATTTATGGTCAAATACGTAAGTTTTTCCATATATGGCCATTAAACAAAGGAAAGTGCACACTGAGCTGACTCCCGGAAGTGGACTGCCAAGATGACACCAATGTACAGGGGAGAGAAAGAGACGAGGGGGAGGGAGGGGCTGATAGACATGAATATGTTGTACATATGTATGTATACATGTACACACATCTATGCATGTATTTTTCACACACTCAGCTCTCTTTACCCAAGGGTTCTATGAGTTAACACTTCTAAATAAAATATTGGGGAAAATAAATTGCATCTTTTCAGGGCATGCTAGCAAAGAGCTCTACCACCGAGCGACACCCCAGCCTCTCATCGAGAATTCTAGGCAGAGGCTCTGGGCATGCCCACAGCCTGCCTCAGGGCCTTTGCATACACTCTTCCTAGGAGGATTTCAGCATTCTCTGTAGCATTTCCCCTTGCCCTTCTCAGGCCATCTCACTCCTAATTCATGGAATTTCCTTGTTCACTCTCTCCCACTAGAACGTGACCCTCCATGCACAGTAGGTAGTTTGAAGCTTATTCATCATTATATCTCCAGAGCAACATTCAGCACATAGTGGGTGCTCACTAGGCTTTGTGGCCTGATTGAAGTGCCAGGTTCCTACCCTTCTTCCTCTTCATCCAGAGAAGCAACTGGAGGTCCTGCAGGACATTGCGGACCTGACGGTGAAGGCTTCAGAACAGGCTGTATTCAAGTGTGAGGTGTCTGATGAGAAGGTGACGGGCAAGTGGTATAAGAACGGGGTGGAGGTACGACCCAGCAAGAGGATCACCATCTCCCATGTGGGCAGGTGAGGCACAGGTAGAGGGGACAGTACGGTGTGTGAATCCTTGGATTGGCTGAGTGGGACACATGTATCAGTTAGCTATGGCTGTGTAATTAGACTCACCTGTTTAGAAGAAGTGTTGCTTTACTCTGAGTCTGTGGGTTGGTTGGAAACTGGCTGATCCGTCAAGATCTCGCTGCAGAGGCATGGTGTTGGGAGAGGTCAACTAGGACCATATTTGGGATGCACAGGAGAGCAAGAGGTTAGAATTCAGTAGGCAGTGTGTGAGCACCTGAGAGAAATACCTGCTCATCTGCTGAATGTCTGAGATGGCTGTGACCTGGTGTCACACCCTCCTGAGTTCCTTCATGAGAGCTGTTTGCTTTTCATGAGGAACTGTGGCTGCTGGTGGCATTGATAACAATGGTGCCAGTCTTGATGCTGACAGGGAACTTCCTAAGTGCCAGCTATCCCCTAGATGTCTCACAACACTGAGACAGTGTCATCACCTCTGCTTGTGGATGAAGAAACTGAGGCACAGAGAGGTTTGGTAGCTTGCCCAAAGCCGAACAGCTAAGAAGTAGGGCTCAAGCTCAGGCTAGATCATCAGAGAACCTCAAGTAAGAGCAGTGGCTGTGCAAACGTGAGGACTTGAGTTCAATTCCCTGCACCCATTTGGAACACTGGGCATGGTAGTGTGTGTCCATAATCCCATCACTGGGGAGGCAGACAGAGGAGGATCCCTGGAGTTTTCTGGCCAGACAGCCTAGCTTAATTGATGAGACCCAGGTTCCTCTGAGAGGCCCTGTCCCAGAATGGAGAAGGACTGGAGAGATGCCATAATGATTAGGAGCACCAGTTGCTTGCAGAGGACCCAGGTTCAGTTCCCAGCACACACATGATGGCTCACAACCATCTTTAACTCCAGTTCCACGGGATCTAGTGCCCTCTTCTGTCCTCTGTAGGTACTGCACACACATGGTGCACATACAGACATGAAGGCAAACATGCATACATGTAAATCTTAAGGAAAAAAAAGTAGATGGTGCCTAAAGAATGACACATAAGTAGATCTCTGGGCTCCATATGCTTCTCATGTTGGCGTTCACAGAAGCATATGGGGTGATCTGGCCTGACCCCACCCACCTCCTTTCTGCCTTCTAGATTCCACAAGCTGGTGATTGATGATGTCCGCCCTGAGGATGAGGGAGACTACACATTCGTGCCTGATGGATATGCCCTATCCCTCTCAGCCAAGCTCAACTTTTTGGGTAAAGACAGCCTTCCTTTTCTACTAGGGATGGAGAACCCACCCTCCTGGACCCTCAGGATCCCAGAATGTCTCCCTGCTGGATTGAGATCCCTAGTTTTACAATGGAGGTCATAGAAACTGTCTGTGGGGCCCACGGACAGAATCAGATGAGATGTTCAGAGCATGGCACATGCTGATGCATGCATGATGGGGTGTAGGCATGGCTGGGGCATCTTTCCCTTCCCTAGGACCCCAGACTCAGGTTTGCTTCAAGAGATTTCTCTGCCTCTGGATTATAAAGGAAAGCTGAGAAAGGGACCTGAGAGTTTAGCTCTAACCCTCCCATCTCCTTGTCTTTCCAGAAATCAAAGTGGAGTACGTACCTAAGCAAGGTAAGGCCCAGTACGATTCCTGTCTGAGAGAGGAGGCTGGGGTCTGATCTCGGAATGTTGCTTCTCTGGGGCACCCTATGATGGTATTGGGAAGCCAGGTCCCCAGTGCCTCTTTTGTGTCTCTAGAGCCGCCAAAGATCCACCTGGACTGCTCAGGGAAGACCTCAGATAACTCAATTGTTGTGGTGGCTGGAAACAAGCTGCGGCTGGATGTGGCCATCACAGGGGAGCCACCTCCCACTGCTACCTGGCTGAGGGGAGATGAGGTAGGTTTCTGTCCCTGGTCTTTCTCCCTCTGGCTCAGCTAAGTGGCTTCAGGCAAGGGACTTTCCCTCTCTGAGCTTCAATTTCATTTATTATTATTATTATTATTTATTATTTATTATTATTATTGGCTTTTAGAGACAGGGTTTCTCTGTGCAGCCCTGGCTGTCCTGAAACTCACTCTGTAGACCAGGCTGGCCTCGAACTCAGAAATCCGCCTGCCTCTGCCTTCCAAGTGCTGGGATTACAGGTGTGTGCCACCACCGCCCGGCCGGTTTCTTGTATTATGAAGTGAGGACAGGTCTTCCTTCTGTGTGGTATAGTTGTGAAGACTGCAGGTTATGTTGGTCTACACAAGCCATGGGCCCAACATACGGCCTGTTCTCCATTCATGGATCTTTTCATCAGGCTGCTAGTTAGTCAAGACTACCAGTTCATCCATCTCTTCAGTAACCCTTCCATCCACCACTTACTCATGTATCAGCCCACTCACCCATCCACTAGTCACCTACCCACCCATCCCACAACCCACTGACCCCACCCATCCATCTACATATCTACCCATTTAGCTACCCACATACTTACCCATCCATTCATCCGTATACACATTCACCCATGAATCTATTCACATGCCCATCCATCCATCCATCCACCCCCTCCTACCACCACCCATCCATTATCTACAAGCCACTTATCTTTACACAACCCATCCACCTACCACCTATTCACCCATTGATGTGTCCACCACCCATACCATCCATAATCCACATACTCCTCTGTGATCGATCCACTCACCCATCTCCCACCCATTCACTCATCTAACCCATCCACAACTCATTCATCTACCGATTCCATGCACTCGTCCCTCCCTCCATCCATCCCTCCATCCCTCCATCCATCCCTCCATCCCTCCATTCCCCCAAAGTCCATCAATTAATGTAACCAACACCAGAGCTAGATTATGATCTATCTATCTATCTATCTATCTATCTATCATATCATATCTATCTATCTATCTATCTATCTATCTTTATCTATCTATCTATCTATCATTTATCTATCTATCTATCTATCATCTATCTATCTATCATCTATCTATCATCTATCTATCTATCATCTATCATCTATCTATCTATCATCTATCTATCTATCATATCTATCTATCTATCTATCTATCATATCTATCTATCTATCATCTATCTATATCTATCTATCATCTATCTATCATATCTATCTATCTATCTATCTATCATCTATCTATATCTATCTATCTATCATCTATCTATCTATCTATCATCTATCTATCTATCTATCTATCATCTATCTATCTATCTATCTATCTATCATATTTCTATCCATCTATTTATCTAGTGTTGATCTTGTTTTCAGCCCCTGGTCAGTGTTCCTCTGCTTGGCTCTGTGGCCAGGTTGAACACCATGATAGGGAGTACGTTCTGGAACAAGATGCTTACCTCACAATGGTGGGGACACACTGAGAGGAAGGGGCTGTGGTGTCAATATCCTTGTCAATGGCACCCCCCATCAATGGCTGGATGTTCTCTTGCTAGGTCCCATCACTTTTTGTTGCTGTTTGTTTCTCAAGATAGGGTTTTTCTGTGTAGCCATGGCTGTCCTGGAACTCACTGTATAGATCAGGCTGGCCTCAGCCTCCTGAGTGCTGGGACTAAAGGCCTATGTCACCACCACCCAGCTTTACATCCTATCATCCCAGTAATGAGATGAACTGGGACAAGCCTTCAGGACATGGGTCTTTGGGTAACATTGATCCAAACTGTAGCAGCATTGAGGTCTTCTCTTCTGGAACACGGACAGCACGGCTCCATGTTTATCCACTCCTCCTCAGTCACCACTAAAGGTGTCACCCTCATGAAATGCAGCCCTGGCTCTGTGCCTTCTTCTTTTGGGGGAGGTGACACAAGTCCACACGGTAGCTTCACAAGATGTCTGAGACCAAGATGTGCATGTGCACATGCACGTGCGTGTGTGTGCATGTACATATGTGTGTGTATGTGAGAGAGAGAGAGACAGAGAGACAGAGACAGAGAGAGACAGAGAGACAGAGACAGAGAGATAGAGAGAAACAGAGAGCAAGAGTTGTGGGAATGTGAGGTCACTCTTAGCTAAGAGCATTCAAAATGTTTCCTGGAAGAAGTGATAACTCCCAGCTGGCCTAAGGAGGCAGTGATTGGGATTCCTGGCAGGGGTTCTACTGCTAGATTTTATCCCCAGCCCTGCACAAATTAGACATGTTGGTTCACACCTACCAACTCTGCCACTGAGAAGTGGGGACAGAAGAAACAGGAGTTCAGATCATCTTTGGCAACATAGGAAGGCCTATAGTAGTAGAGATTACAAAGACCTTGTCTTAGAAAGAAGAAAAGGGGGGAGGGAGAGCAAGGCTGTATGTACACAGGTAAACTGTGACTCTTGAGAACAAGACACAAGTCTAGTGAAGGTGCATGTGTGGTGGACAAGAAAGGTGTGGAGGAAGAAAGTCGGTGAGTCCAGAACTCACATACGTGTGGCCATAGAGAAGGCACTGCAAGAGTTCGTGGCATTGAGAGAGGCATGGTCTGGGCAAGTGATGCAAGCCCAGCTGCTGGGTGGCTGTGTCCAGGTGTTCACTACCACAGAAGGCAGGACACGCATTGAGCAGAGGCCAGAGTGCAGCAGCTTTGTGATCGAGAGTGCAGAGCGGTCAGATGAGGGCCGCTACACCATCAAAGTCACCAATCCTGCGGGCGAAGATGTGGCCTCCATTTTCCTGCGGGTTGTGGGTAAGCAGGTGTTAAGGGGATGAAGCATGAGGTGGCTCACTGCAGTCTCCAAGGGTGCCTCTGACTCTCATTGTCCCTCACCCCCACCCAGATGTTCCTGACCCTCCAGAGGCTGTTCGTGTCACCTCAGTTGGAGAAGACTGGGCCATTCTGGTCTGGGAGCCACCCAAGTATGATGGAGGCCAGCCAGTGACTGGTTAGCATCCACACGCCTGTGTCCCTGTGACTCCCATGTTCCCTGCACCTGACCCTGCCTCCTGAGTTTAATCTTCCCAGGGACTAAAGGCACGAGCCACCATTGCTTGTCCCTTTGTCACTTACTGATCCTATTCATCTTTCCTGGGATTCATTATCCCCCAGTGACCTGGAAATAAGTCTCATTTTGGTTTCATAGCCTGAAGATTTCTGTGACCCACGGCTTCTTGATTCCCCAAACCATGTATGGTAGCCCCAGAAGGCTCTGAGATGCTGACAGTCAATTTGATGGGGGTCATATGGTCCTTCCTATGTGATCCTGCCTGTCCCAACCGTGACTCTAGACTTCACCATGACCCCCAAAACCCTTCTGCTTGGGGAAGCACAGGGTACTTGATGGAGCGGAAGAAGAAAGGCTCCCAGCGCTGGATGAAGCTCAATTTCGAGGTCTTCACCGACACGACCTACGAGTCCACAAAGATGATCGAGGGCGTCCTCTATGAGATGCGGGTCTTCGCTGTCAACGCCATCGGTGTCTCCCAGCCCAGCATGAACACCAAGCCCTTCATGCCCATCGGTACGATGGCCTCTGTCCCCCCCTGCTCTTCCCACTCATTCTGCCCTACATTCCGATACTGGGGGACTGGGTTTTCTAGGCAGGTATTTTACCTCTGAGGTACAGCCCCAGTGGCACTTTTTTTTTCTAATCTTTTGGAAACAGGTTCTGAATAGTATTAGATGACCTTGAACATCTAATATATGTATACCCAATATATATGTATACCAAACTGGCCTTGAACTCACAGAAATCCACCAGCTTCTGCCTCCCGCTTCTAGAATTAAAAGTGTGCACCACCACATTAGCTTTTCCCGTTGGATGCTATTTTAATCTCCTCTCATGGCCTTTCTTGCTTACTGACTTTTGGCCCACCACACTGATACCATTTCTAGTCTCTGACTCCTGCTCTCTCTTTTGGACCTCTGGTCCTTGATTGGCTCTTGGCCTTCTCTCTCTGGATCCCCTGCAGCCCCCACGAGTGCACCGCAACACCTCACAGTGGAGGATGTGACAGACACCACCACCACACTTAAGTGGAGGCCCCCAGATCGGATTGGTGCTGGTGGCATTGATGGCTACCTGGTGGAGTACTGCCTGGAGGGCTGTGAGTAGCGCTTGGCCGTAGATTTGGGAGTTGCACAGGGATGATGTGGTGCCTGGGGTAGGCTGGACCCCCCAGGCCAGGGTGTGTCCCCTCTGTCCACCTCTCTGCAGCAATGGCTCCTTACTGTCTGTCCCTCCCTCTCATATCTTCCTCTACCTCATTCTCCCTCTCTTCTTCCCTCCCTCCCTTCCTCTTAATGTTCTTCCTTCCCAAGCATCTGTCTGTCACCTCCATTATCCTCATCCGCACCTCATCCACCCCACACACATTCACAATCATACTCAAGCACTTGAGTATTCATGTGCAACACTCACACCTATTCATGAGGCACATTGGCATGGACACTCACACTAGTGTACACATACTGCTTAAAGCCATGCACTCACACATATTCATTTTCCCACCCATGTCTATGCATACACACACACACACACACACACACACACACACACACACACCCTGTCATGGAGGTCACAGCCCTGGCTGCAGAGTGTCTTCCATGATTATCTGGCAGTCAGGACACCACACTGACACTGTGTGTCCAGCCTCATCTGTAATAGAGCAGCCTCAGCCCCGCCCATCCTGCCTGTGTCTTTGAGGTCTTGGCCTCTATGACTCAGAACCTTTCAAGACCTGAACTGTGACCACCACATCAGGCCACATAGGGAAGAGATAATATTGCCCACATTAGCTTCTTGCCACCATCTCTTCCCAGCATTTCTTTCTTCATGCCCCAGCTGGCCAACATCCTACCCCTCTACCTCTCCCATTCCTGAACCATTTCATTCTTGAAATGCTGGTGTGTGACTTCAAGTAGCCTACCCTACTTGGGCCCCTGGAGTCCTCATCCTTGAAATGGGGGTTACAGTGTTGAGGCAGGTGTGTTGTCTTTGATGTGATGGGGGTGGTCCTCCATGCCTTCCTCAGGACTGCTTGACTAGGGCTGTTGCCACTGATGCTGGTGTTCACTCACTATGGTGGGGCTATTTACTGGTTGGGGGGCCAGTGCAGAGGCCCCAAGGAAGGCCCTGGTTAACTCCTTTCTCCAGCTGAGGAATGGGTCCCGGCTAACAAGGAGCCAGTGGAACGGTGTGGCTTCACTGTCAAGGATCTCCCAACTGGAGCCAGGATCCTCTTCCGAGTTGTTGGGGTCAACATTGCGGGGCGCAGTGAACCAGCCACCCTCCTTCAGCCAGTCACTATCAGGGAGATTGTTGGTGAGTGACACGCAGTTCCTCACTCAGCCCTCCTGAGGCTCTACTCAGTGTCCTTCGATTAGGGTCCCTCAGATGATGTCATCCCCACCTAGTGTTTCCCAGCCCAACACGAACCCCCTCTGTTCACACTCTCAGAGCAACCTAAGATCCGTCTTCCCCGCCATCTGCGTCAGACTTACATCCGAAAAGTTGGGGAGGCCCTCAACCTTGTCATCCCCTTCCAGGTACTTGAGCTGGGATCAGTGTTGGCTTGGGCTTGGGGTTAAGGACAGGGCCAGGGTCAGAGCTGGGGTTAAGGTAGGGTTGGATCTGGGATCCGGGTCAAGGCCAGGTTTGGGGCTGAGATTGGGGCTACAGATAGGGTCAAAGTTGGAGCTGAGGTCGGGGTTATTGATAGGGTTGGAGTTGGGATCAGGCTTAGGGGTAGAGTCAGGGTCAAAGCTGGAGCTGGGGGCAGGGCCATGGACAGGGCCAGATTCAGGACCAGTACTATTGTTTGTGTTAAGATCAGAGCCAGGGTCAGGGTCAGTGTCAGGGTCAGGGCTGGGATCAGAGGGGAGGTCAGAGATAGGGTTGGGGTCAAACAGAGCCACGGCCAGAGTTTGGTGGGGATCAGGGCCTGGACTAGGGTCAGATCCAAGTCCAGGAAGTTGTCAGGCCCAGGGGCAGTGATGCAGGCAGGTCCTCAGGCCCTCAGAGCCCATTCACCTGACTTCATTCCCTCTCCCAGGGCAAGCCCCGTCCTCAGGTGGTATGGACAAAAGGTGGGGCCCCCTTGGATACCTCCCGTGTTAACGTGAGGACTAGTGACTTCGACACAGTGTTCTTCGTGCGCCAGGCAGCACGCTCTGACTCTGGAGAGTATGAGCTGAGTGTGCAGATTGAGAACATGAAGGACACTGCCACCATCCGCATCCGGGTTGTGGGTGCGAGGCGGGAGCACTGGGGGAGGACGGGATGTTTGAAACAGGAAGGGTGAAAGGTGGGGCAGAGGAAGGGGCGCAGTTGGTACTGTGGTTGCCTAGCATACATGAGACCCTAGGGCCCATCCCAGCACTCGATAATAAACAAGGTGTGGTGGTGTATGCCTATAATCTCAGCACTCGGGGTAGCAGTAGGAAGATCAGTAGTTTAATCCTGGGATATATAATGTGTTTGAGATCAGTCTGGGCTACTGTGAAAAAGAAAAAAATCTGGAAAGGGAGGGACAAAGCCGGGCATTAGGGTCCCTCGGATGGAATGTAACCCCCAACCTCCTTCCAGAAAAGGCAGGGCCAGCAGAGAATGTGATGGTGAAGGAGGTGTGGGGCACAAACGCTCTGGTAGAATGGCAGCCACCCAAGGACGACGGGAACAGTGAGATCACAGGCTACTTTGTCCAGAAGGCTGACAAAAAGACCATGGTGAGGGGACATGGGGGTCGTGGGGGATGCTAGCTAGTGGCCTTGACAGAGCAGAGCTGAGCTTTCTATTCCACAGCTGGGAAACTGAGGCTAGGAGACTGGATGACTGAGTCTATACCTGCATATGTCCTCCACACACCTGCCTTCCCTGGTCCCTCCTTGTCCCCGTTCCAGGAGTGGTTCAATGTCTATGAACACAACCGCCACACCAGCTGTACCGTGTCTGACCTCATTGTGGGTAATGAGTACTACTTCCGCATCTTCAGTGAGAACATCTGTGGTCTCAGTGACTCACCAGGTGTCTCCAAGAACACAGCTCGAATCCTCAAGACAGGTACAGGGTCCAGCTGCTTGGCCTTCAGCTGCCACTCCTGGCTGTTGGCCTCTGGCTAGTGCTGGGGTTGAACTCACTTAATGGGTGTCTCTCACCCTCCAGGAATCACCTTAAAACCACTGGAATACAAGGAACATGATTTCCGGACAGCCCCCAAGTTCCTGACCCCCCTGATGGACCGGGTAGTGGTGGCGGGATATGCTGCAGCTCTCAACTGTGCCGTCAGAGGCCACCCTAAGGTGCCAGGGTGGGGTCTGGAGAAGTCCTCAGCAGCATACAGCCCTAGACCCACCACACCAGCAGTTCCTCCCTGCAGTCTCCTCAGGCAGAGGCCAAGTCTCAGAAAGTTCTGGACTTCCTGCCTCATGACTACCAGGCACAGCTCATCCATGAGGCCCATCCATCTTTCCTGTCCTGTTTGGACACAGTGTCATTCCCTGAGAAACGTGGTGGTGGGGGGGGGGGCATCTATACCTGTATAGCTACCTGAAGTTTTCCTGAGCTACCAAGACAGGATTTCTTTTTTTTTAATATCCTAAAATTTTGTGTTTGTATGTGAACTTTGTGTGTGCAGTACTCTTGCAGGCCAGAAGAGGGCATTGGATTCTCTAGTGATTTAATTATGTGCAGTTGTAAGCTGCCCCACGTGGGTGCTGAGAACTGAACCCATATCCTCTGGAAAAGCAGCAAGTACTTTTAACTACTGAGCCACTTCTCCAGGCCTCATTATTTTTCTCTTTTACATAAGAGTTCATGTAGTCTAGGATGGCCTTGAACTCAAGACCCTTCTGCCTCCACTTCCTGAGTGCTGGAATTATAGTGCACTACAGGCTCGGGTATACCCATCCATCCATCCATCCATCCATCATCCATCATCCATCCATCCACCCATCCATCCATCCATCCATCTGTCCATCCATCCACCCATCCATCCATCCATCCATCCACCCATTCACCCATCCATCCATCCATCCGTCCGTCCGTCCGTCCGTCCGTCCGTCCATCCATCCGTCCATCCACCCATTCACCATGTCATTTAATATTATGCCAATCTATTCATTTTTTATCAGCTCATTCATTCATTCTATTTAATGAATCACATGATTCATTCCACAAATATTTTCCTGAACTTCATTTGTGCTTCACAAATGGGACAAAGAAGTTCCTCTTTGACATTGGTCTCAAGTCTCACAGATGATATAAAACCATGAATGATGATAAGCATGACAGAGAAATACAGGCAGGTCTGAGACAGCAAAAGAGGCATCCCTAGTCAGGACACAGATGGCAAGGGAAGGATTGGGAAGGCAGGAATTGCAGGGTTGGAAGAGGGAGCAGACAGTCCCAGGGTCCTGGGTGGGAAGCCCATCATCTGGTCTGTCCCAGAATGCCTGGAGCACAGGAAAAGAAAGGCAGAAGGTGATGAAAGAGATGGTAGCCAACTGGGGTCCATATGGTGTAGTTTTTATTCTGAGAATAAGAAGTCCTCTGTCTCCCCTGTGTACCCATCCAGGTAGTGGCATGGCTTCTGTCCAGGACATCCCTCTAAATCAGCTTTTTTTCTGGTTCCCTTCCCTAGCCAAAGGTGGTATGGATGAAGAACAAGATGGAAATCCATGAAGATCCCAAATTCCTCATAACCAACTACCAGGGCATCCTGACACTGAACATCCGCCGACCTTCGCCCTTTGATGCAGGGACCTATTCCTGCCGCGCCGTCAATGAACTGGGGGAGGCCCTGGCTGAATGCAAACTGGATGTCCGAGGTGAGAGGGAATGGTAACACACTGACTGACCCTAATCCAGGGCCCCTGGCAAACCTACCCAGCTGCCCCAGGCAAGAAGGCGATAGAGATCATGCAAAGGCCCTAGGGTTGGAGAGTACCAGTTCTAGCTTGTGCCTCACTTGCAATCCCTCCTCTGTCAAGCCTCCTCCTGTCCTTTGCCCCTGGAATCAGAGTTGAGATGGCTCTCCACTACTCCTCTGATGCCCTCACCACCACCACAGTCTCTCCAGCCTGGAATTTACTGTCTTGTGTCTTGGTGGGACCACAGTGGCCATATTTATCCCTACTCTTAGCCTCTGGCATATGCTGAACTATCCTCCAAGAAAACTCTTTCTCATCTCCTTTGCTGGATTCAGTTCACAAGACATTGCTAAAGGAGGCAGATCAGGGCTCCTAGAGTACGCATTACATGCCCCTGCTTGATCTGGAGGCACTTGACAATACTGATGTCCCTGGCCCTATGACAGCTTAGCAGACAGGGACTTCAGCTCCTCAGGGATGGTTCTGGGAGCACCCCCAGGTCCATTGGCTACATTCTGGATTCAGGCTGATCAACCCTCTATTCTGCGGTCTTCTTTGTGGGTGACTAAGTCAGCCCAGATGTATAGCGGCTCCCCATAGCAGGCTCCTGCTGACTTTTGACAGCTGGTAGTTTCTCAGAACATCCCTATTTGGGATTTAAAATGACTTTAAACTGTCTGGGGTGTGGTGCACATCTGTAATTTCCAGCACCCAAGAATGCTCAAGCTGGGCGAGGAGATATGAGTTTGAAGTCAACCTATGCTTCAGAGTGAATTCTAAGTCAGCCTGAATTACATAGTACCATCTTGCCAAAACATAAAATGAAAAAACAAGGGCTCAGAGGTTAAGAGCACTGGCTGTTCTTCCAGGGGCCCTGAGTTCAGTTCCCAGGAGCCCATGATGGCTCACAACCATGGGTAGCATCAGTTCCAGGGGCTCCAAAGCCCCCCTTCTGGCCGCATGCAAACACACACATGGTGTGTGTTCTGGTGCACATAAACACAAGCAGGCAAACACACGCATAAAATAACTGATTAAATGTTAAATCAAAATAAAAAGTCAGGCATAGCAAAGTACAACTGCAGCTGTAGTTCTGAGGTGCTGGAGGCATCAAGAGCCTCAACTCTGTGGAATGTTGGATGTCATGAGACCCATTCTCATTCTGTGGGTCTGGAGAAGTGGCTTGTGGGGACAGTGTTTATCTAGCACAAAGCCTGGGCTATATCCCCAGCACTCTGTAAACCAAGCATAGTGATAGATGACTGTCATCCCAGCACTGGGGAAGTGGAAGCAGGAGAACTAGGAGTCAAGGACATCCTTAGCTACATATTTGAGTTCAAGGCTAGCAGAGGCTACATGCAGCCCTGCTGAGGGGGGAGAGATGTGCTGGTGACTGCACCGGTGTTTGCTAATCACTGTCACTGGATAGGAACTCTCTTGCTCCCTCTGCTGGGGTATTCTGGGTAGAGACATGGTGCAGCACATCTCACCCCGCCTCACCCACCTCTCATTTTTCTTGCAGTGCCACAGTGACAGCTCATCACCTATTACATAAGTCATCAGAACCTGAACACCAGGGCTGGAGAGATGGCTCAGCAGTTAAGAGCACCGATTGCTCTTCCAGAGGACCTGAGTTCAATTCCCAGCAATCACATGGTGGCTAATAACCATTTGTAATGGGTTCTGATGCCCTCTTCTGGTGTGAAGAGAACAACAGTGGTGTATTCATATGCATAAACTAAATAAATAAATCTTAAAAAAAAAAAAGAAGCTGGACACCAGTGCTCTAACTCTTGGATGGCAGTCATCTTTCTAGAATGATCATTATGATAAAGTACTGTTGCTCAGATTATCATGTGTCCGTCTTTCCAGAGTCTGTAGTTCTTGTCCCCTGTGGGTGGGGTTAGTCACTCTTGGGACAAGGGACAGCTACCACCACCAGGCAGCCTTAAAGATCAGATCTCATTGAAGTTGCCATCTTGGAAGATGGTCTCTGCTGAGGGAACTGCTTGTCATGGCATTTACAAGAGTCAAAGGTGAAGCTCATGCCCTGTGGCCTGAATTCTCTTGAACATTACTTACAGAGAGGAGACAGGCCTGTCACCACTCACAAAGGACAGCACATCCAAGCTGACCAAGACAGGTCTGCATGACATGTTTCAAGGCACAGGCCAAGAAGATTTTGTACTTTTCCACCACCTGGACCCTCTTACCCCCTCCCCTTGTAAAACATGCTATAAAAAAGCATTTCATGTTCAAAAAAAAAAAGAAATTAAAAAAAAAGAAAAAAAAAAGACAGGTCTGGGTACAGCTGTCATTTTAGCTATCTGGAAGGCTGAGGCAGAGGGAGAAAGGCCAGAGACATTCTGGGCAATTAAATGATATTCTACATTAAAATGAAAAGTGAAAAGAGAACGTGGAGACTCGGTGGTAGAGCCCTTGTCTAGACCACATAGTGAGGGGATGGGGTGTGGCTTAGTGGTAGAGGGCTTCCTTAGAATGTGGAGGCTCTGGATTTCACCTCCAGCAGAGGGAAAAGAAGGGAAATCAGTTGGAAAACCCTTGCATACCAAGGCACCAAAGGCACTGAGGGCTAGAGGAAGACCTGGAAGCAGCCTGTAGCCTTGGTGACTGTGACACAAAGAACCAGGGCTTGGGTGTTGGTTCTTAAGAGCCTGATCTTTATTAAGTTTAAAAATCCATTTCTCTGGCTCTGAGCTGAGCTGGCTTGATTTCTGGTCCTCTGGTGACTGGGAAGGATCTTGTCTGAGTCAGAGCCCCCAGAGTTCTGAGACCTGTGGGTCGAGTCTGGCCTCTGTGGCTTGAAACTAAGAAGAGTGCACATCTGAGAGTCTGACCAGCATGAGGCTCTGAGTCTGAGATGGGTGGGCCCGTGTGTGTCTTGGGAAGACACAACTGTCCTCTCCTGTTCCCCTTTCAGGGAATTGGGCATGGAGGGCCAGGCATAGCTCACTCCTTCAGTGAGTACGCTTCTCTCCCTAGAACCCACTTGGTGCCAGGCAGAGGCTAGGAGAGGGCTGTGTGCTCTCTTTTTAGGACACCTGGGCTAGCAATACCAGCCACACAGTCCCTAGTCTGCTGCAGAGCCTATAGCCTTCTCCTTAGAACCCCTAAGAAGATGGAAGTAGAGAGGAGTTCCTTTCTCCTCAGGCCTAGAGACTGGGACTGGTTTTCCTTCCTCAGACCCAGGAGTCCAGGCCCCAGCCCTCTTCCCTCAGACACAGGTATCCAGGATCCAGCCTTCCTCCCTCAGACCCAGGGGTCCAGGCCCCCAGCAGGCCTACCTGGTCCCTTTCCATCCTTCCTGGCCCAACATCCCTGGGCTCGAGGTCCCGCCCTCACCTCCGGGGGCTGCAACTGCCCCTCCTCGACCTCGACCTCATCCTCATCCTCCTCAGGCACAGTGTCCTCGTGCGTGAAGGGCACTGCACAGGTAGGCGAGTGGAATCGCAGGCGGTAGAGCAGCCGCACCCAGCGGCCGAACTCGCAGTCCCGGGTCTCTGGCGGAGCGCGCAGTTGCAAGTAAAAGGCACGGCCAGTTCGGAACTTGACCTTGAGCTGCTGGCGGCTCACATCATGCACAAACAGCTGCACAAACTGCAAGGGAAACAGCCTGAAGAGAGAAGGGGCGGCTCAGTCATGGCCTTATGTTTCTAGTCCTGTCGCCATCCACTGTGGATTCCCACTACTGGATGGGCTGTGTCATGCTTACCGTGGCCAGCTACCAGATCTCTGCCTCAACCTCCTCTCTTGTATCCTGGTCCTGTCCTATCACCAATTCCTCACAGCTATACCTTCCTGTTGTACCTTGAATCCCTATATCGCCACCTGAGCCCCATGCTTAGCTTGGCCCAATCAAGTCAAGGCTGGGTCCTCACTGTGGACCAGAGCTTCTCTGCTTGAGGGAAGGGGGACAGAGCAGTCTCCCCTGGCCTGCTTATAATCTTGATCATTCCACGTGACAGTTCTCCATCTATCCTGTTGACTTCACCAGTGGCTGATGTGAGTGGCTTGGATTCCAACCTCTGGGCTGATTTTGCTGTTTCCCCTGATATGGTTAACCACTGGAAGGATGCTTATAAAATATTTGAATAAATGAATTGCTCACACTTCAGCTAGATTCAAGATCCAACAAAGGAAAGGAAGATACAGTCCAGAGAGTAACCTGGCTCGGGCCACACAGCAAGGCCTGCATTCATAACTCTGGGGTTTGGTAACTACGGCAAGGGGTCACCACACCCTACTCTGGGCTGATTCTATTGCTTATAGGACCTGATGTGTCCAACCTCTTCATTCCTGTGCACACAAATACACGTAACACATGCCTTCTGCTTCATGGTGTCCCCCAGTGGACACTGGATTTCCCTGAAATGTGACAGCTCTAGGTGACATTTACACACTGCTCATGCTATGCCTGGTGCTTCATGAAACACAAACAGGAAGAACTGTCCTGTCACCCTGTTGTATTCCAGATGAGGGGACTGAGGCACAAAAAAGAGGACAGTGAAGGCAGGATTGATCCTAAGCTCTGGGATCAAGAATGTTCCAGGCACAGGGGAGTCAAGCTAACTCAGCCTGGTTCCAGGAGGAGCCTGGAGTAGGGCTGGGGCTAACTGCTAACAGGCTTTGTTTTGTTGACAAGTACTCAGTAGCCCAGGCTGGCCTACAACTAGTTGTGTCACTGAGCCTGGCCTTGAACTTCTGATCCTCCTGTCTCCACCTTCTGAGTCCTGGGATTACAGTTTTGTACCACTTTGTTGGCTGCAGGCAGGCAAGGACAGGGTCAGAGGGATCCCAAGCTTGCATTTAATAAGCAAAGCCTGTTGTTGGAAACTGTACATCTTACCAGGGCAGAGAACTGAGCAATGACCTCCACTTAGGTAAGGAGGTAATTGGGTGAATCAGGCATTTTTTTCTTTCACTTTTTTTTTTTTGAGACAAGGTCTCATATAGTCTTGGCTGACTGGAACTTGTAGTTCAGGCTGGACTTAAACTCAGATTTGCCTGACTCTGCCTCCCAAGTGCTGTGATTAAACATGTGAACCACTGTGTCCAGCAAGAATCCCTCTATTCTTTCCTTCCTCCCTTCTCTTGCATGTGGTGGTCATAGGTGACTTGCATGTGCATGTGCACTTGCATGTGGCGGTCATAGGTGAGTGACTTGCATGTGCATGTGAACTTGCATGTGGCGGTCATAGGTGAGTGACTTGCATGTGCATGTGCACTTGCATGTGGTGGTCACAAGTTAATCCTAAGAATCTTCCTTCCTCTGTCATTCTCACACCGCATTTTGGAGAGTTTTTCACTTAACCTGGAGCTAAATGATTGGACAGACGGGCTGATCCCAAGCTCCAAGGACTGGCCAATCTCTGTCTCTCCCAGCACTGGGGTTACCATGGGACTTGGCTTCTTATATGGCTGCTGGGGCCATTCAAACTCAGATTCTCATGCCTGCTCTGCAGATACTCTTCTGACTGGGTCTCTCTCTCTGTCTGTCTCTGTCTCTCTCTCTCTCTTACACACACACACACACATGCACACACACACAGCTCCCTTCATCTTAAGACAGGGTCTCACTAAGTTGTCCAGGTTGCCACTTTTATAGCTCACTTTGGCCTGTTGTAATTCTCCTGCTTCAGTTTCTCAAGTTGCTGGGATGACAGGCCTGTACCATTAGGATTGGCCTCTTTCTATTTTCTGTTTTTCATGAACTGAGATAGGATGAGAAAGGATTCAGGTCTCCAAAAATCCAGAGTGTGTACCTGTACTACAAATGTGTACATGTGTCCTGTCATAGCTGAAGTGGGGCACAGCCTAGGCTGGGGAAAGGGATCTTCTGTGTGAGGTTTGTACTTGGTGGTATTGATTTTCACAAGTTTTCAATGAGAAGAGCAGAGCAGAACAGTGGACTGTGAAGAGCCTCAGGTTCTAGTCCTGACTTTGTGGAACCCTGGGCCACAGGCCCAGCCAGTCTTTGAGCTTATTTTATCTTTGCGGGACAGAGGGGTACCTGGAAAGCAGAAAGCATTGTGTAAACAGTCACCATCCTGACCCTGTGATGTCACTGAGGGCTGTCCTTTCTTATCTCCTCTGACTTCTGTGAAGTGCCCTGTCATTTTTCTTAGTGGAGAGGTCTGGTGGTGTTCTTGGTCTCCAGAGCCTGGGCAGCAAAATGGCGGCAGGGAGGTTGGAGGAAGATGGGACTTGGGGGGCAGTCACCCGAGGAGCTGCAGGTGTCCATTCTCCTTGTCAGGGCCGGCCAGCAGCAGCAGGTCTGGCAGCTCCAGGGCAGGGCTAGAGGCTGCCACCCCCATGGTGACCTTGTTGGCGACTTCTCCAAACCGAGTCACCTGGGGCCAGAAGTTAGAGGCACGATAGATGGAGAACAGCACTCAACAGGGATCTGACGGGTGTTGGGAATCTTGACGGTGAAAGGTCATGAATTAGGGGACATCAACAGTAGGTTAGGGGCTGGGAAATGTGGCTCAGTATATAAGCACACGCCTAGAATCCCTCAGTGCGGGGCTAGGGGTGTGACTAAGGGGTAAAGCCTCTGCCTAATATGGGTGAAGCCCAGGGTACCGTCCACATTACCCCTAAAAAGAAAAAAGAAGGTTGTGGGCCAGAGACTTTAGGATAAAGGACAAGAACTATATGTGTGTACAGTCAAGGACACTGAGACAAAGGCTTCTGAAGACATAAAAAGCCCAACGGGCTCAGAGGTAACGTGGAACACTTCGAGTTTGAAAGAGTAATAAATGATGGGGGCTTCGTACGTCAACGGGTCGGAGGTCCGGGGCTCCACACCTGCACGAAGTTGCTTTCAAAGATGGGAAAGTCGCGCAGCTGGTCGAACTCGCCGCTCAGGAGGTGGCGTTGGAGGCGCCCAGGGCGGCACGGGGCGTAGGCTGGAGCCAGGGGGCGGTCTGCAGGGGCGAAGGGCTGGCATCCACCCCAGGATGCCAGGTACGAGTACTCTGACCGAGGGCGCACGAGGGGCAGCGGCCTCCGCATTGCTGGTCCCATACCTTCCCCGGCTCCCTCACTAGGGCCAACCCCTCCAGGCAGAATTCCTCTTGTCACCTTCCATCCCCTCCGAACTGGTCTCACCTGCTCCGCCGGGAGGCGGCTTAAGATCTCGCCCGCCCTTCATCGCCACGCCCCGGCCCTGGGTAGGAACGCCGGGTGAAGCCAGGGACAGACAGATAAAGGGTGGGGCCTAGAGCTTGTGACTTTACAATAGGGGGCCCAGCGTTCTGTGACGTCACGAACGTCACCTCTCTCCCAGGTCGTGTCACCGGGAACGTGAGCCCTAGAGACCCGGATGGAGAAACGGCCGTCTTAACTGCGGGAGCAGGCGAACGGGCGCTAGTGCGCAGGCGCGGCGTGCGGCGCAGGCGCACGAGCCTCAGGATGAGCTCTGTGTTTTCTAGCGTGCTGTATGGTGGTCGGCTCTTCTCAGCGATTCGGTATGGTGGCCGCGGGTGCCGGGGTGACCCGGCTGTTAGTGCTCTTGCTGATGGTAGCCGTGGCTCCTAGCAGAGCTCGAGGCAGCGGCTGCCGTGTCGGGGCCGCAGCGCGCGGGGTGAGTGCTAGTGGTCGGAGCGGGGCGGCTTCCTGTGGGCGCTAGACGGGCCCTTATGAATATTCATGAGGATGTGGTTTGCTTGGCATCTGGGCTGCGCGGGGTAGAGGTGCCAGTTAGCATTTCATCTCGGTGCTCGGGAGGCTGAGGCTGGAGGATCAAGGAGTTTGAGGTTAGCTTGGGTTGCTTGAGATTGTCTCAAAAATACAAAAATGGGAGTGTAGTGGTGTACGCTTTCAGTATCCCTATTCGGGAGGCAGTGACAGGTGGATTTCTGAGTTCTAGGCCAGCCAGGACTACACAGTGGGACCCTGACTCAGTAAGTAAACAATAAAGATATGGCAGGGAAGCAGTGCCCTTGCGTTAGGGTAGGAGTCATGAGTATGCATGAGGAAGCCAGGTCCTTCAGGAGCCAGAGTGCTGTAAGATGCCTGGATAGAAGCTTGAAATTAAGACATCTAGGCATAGGCCTTGGCGTGGGGTGCATCTTAGGTGTGCAAGGTCACCCTGGGCTACCTAAGGCCCTGTTTCAAAAATCCCCAAAAATAGGGTGCTGGGAAAATGGGGGTCAAGAGAACTCACTGTTTTTCTAGAGTATCTGGGTTCAATTTCTGGCACCCACCTGGAGGCTCACAACTGTCTGTTGACTTCAGTTCCTGGGGATCGGACACTATCCTGGCTTACTAGGCACCAGGCATACACACAGGGCACATAACGTACATGCAGCAAACATCCATACACACAATTAAAAAAAAAGAAAAACCACAAAAACGTTAAGGTCATGGTTGTGGTGCTTACCTGTTATCCCAAGCACTCAGTAGACGTAGGTAGGCAGGAGGATCATCTTGGGTCTAGACCAGCCTGGGAGTGGTTTAGTGAGACCCTGTTTCAGAATATGGGAAGAGAGGTATAGGATGTAGGATGTACTGGAGAGCAGTGGACTTCTTGATGATATGAATGGTCAGGGTATTAACATGTGCCAGGAAGCCAGTGCCTGTGAACTCATGAGTGAAAAGCTTGACAGCGACCTGGGGAGCACAGCAAGGTGGTACTGACCTGTGTTAGCAGCACTAGGAGGGGGTGGAGGCAGAATAATTGTGAATTAGAGGCTAGCTTGGGCTATGCAGTGAGACTCTCACAAACAAACAAACAAACAAACAAAACAACAACAAAAAGATAATGACCTGGGCATTGGACAAGGGAGTAAAAGCTTTTAGGGTTTTCTTTGTGCTATGGAAATTGACGACGTGAATATTCGTGAGGGGCAATCCTGGGGACAGCACCTGTGGTCAGATGTGAGCATGAAGCTGAGGCTTGTCCTTTAGTCTGTCACTCTCTCCTGGGGCCAGTGGATTCTTCCCTGCCCAGAGCTTGAGTGGTTCTTATTTGGGGTCCTTGTCTCTCCTGCAGGCTGGGGCTGATGGCCGGGAAGCAGAGGGCTGTGGCACTGTGGCATTGCTGCTGGAGCATTCCTTTGAGATTGGTAAGATGAGTGTTTCCTCAGCCTCACGCATATCCTTTGGTGGAGAGGGCCGAAACCACAGATAGGAGAAGAGAAGTTGTCTTTGGATGTCCCAGACCTGTGGCTTCAAGGTGTCAAAGGTTTAGTGCTTGCCAGGCAGGCCCAAGGTCCTGGGCTGCATTTCTGTTAATGAAAATCATAAACATACACATATGCATTTATATGAATGTATGAGTATATGCACACACATGTATATACATATGTATACATGTGTACATAATAAATGTACATGTGTGATGGCTAAAGAAACTATTTTATGCCAGGCAGGCAACTTGGTACCCACTAGCCATTTGTCACTGACTCTAGTGCTTGAAACATAGGTTCTTAGTGACTCTCACCCAAAAATGTATAGCTGTGACCATCTACTTATTATGATATGGTTAATTGTTTTCTTGGCTTTTATAACCTGCTTACGCAGATGCCCAAAGATTGTTTTGTGTTGCCTTAACTTGGCAGAATGGAATAGTTTTTGCCTGCTCATATAGATATTGGAGGTCTTCTTGTAGTTTTCACATTTAAAGTTTAATTTTCTTTTACAATTCCAGTTACATCATAGTAGGGGAGTCAAATCAGGAACGTCAAACAGCTGGTGATAGCACATCCATAGTCCAGAGCAGGTTATAGCACGTCCATAGTCCAGAGCAGGAGCTGGTTATAGCACATCCGTAGTCCAGAGCAGGAGCTGGTTATAGCACATCTGTAGTCCAGAGCAGGAGCTGGTTATAGCACATCCGTAGTCCAGAGCAGGAGCTGGTTATAGCACATCCGTAGTCCAGAGCAGGAGCTGGTTATAGCACATCCGTAGTCCAGAGCAGGAGCTGGTTATAGCACATCCATAGTCCAGAGCAGGGAGAATTAATGGACACATGCTTGCTTATGCTTAGCCTCCTCTCTACACTTAATATAATTCTGGGCCCAAAGCTAGGGAGTGGTGCCACCATAGTGGGCGGGCCTTCCTACCTCAATGAATGTGATCAAGACATTCACTGGCAGATATGCCCGTAGCCCAGCCTGACCTAGACATCCCTCACTGAGACACTTTTCTGGTGATTGTAGGTTGTGTCAGGTTGGAGATTAAAACTAGCCATCAGGGCCCCTGACGACTTTTACTCATATGGCCAGCTATCAGTCTTGACAGGGTCTCTGTAATCTGTAATCTTGTATTATTGCTAACTTGTATTTAATTTCTTTTGTAGAAATTAAATTCTTTTATAGAAATTAAATACAAGTTACTGTCACATGTAACATCTGGACACCTGCATATGTATACATACACAAGTATATGTATGCATGTCTCTGTGTGTATAATTATTTCCTTCTTGCCCCCAGACCTGTAGGAGCAACCCAGTCAGCTGAAGAGGGAATGTCAGAACAGCAGCCTTCTCACACTTGATCTTAGCTAAAAGGCTGAGAAGCCATTCAGAACAGACTTCTCTAGCCTCTGACCTCTGTCCTGCCTCCACTCCCTCAGATAGCCCTAGTTAGTCTTGTGAGGCAGTGGTGGGAGCATTGGCCCATTTTGCTGCAGAGGAAAGAGGTCTGGGGCAGCACCACAAGACCCCCTCTTTCAGGGAAGGCTGAGTTGGGCCAGCCCCAACATCTGCCTGACTTAAGGGGCTGTGAGCTTTGCTGTTAGAACTAGCTAGCCCCTAGCTTAGCCTACAGCTCCTTAACAGAGTCAGCGAGGCCTGGGGCCATGCAGGACCTAATAGCAAACAAGTGAAGCCGCTCACACTGTAGGTGATTGTGAACGAGCCCAGTCCCCCTACAGGTGATGGAGCCAACTTCCAGAAGCGTGGCTCGCTGCTATGGAACCAGCAGGATGGCACCTTGTCTGCGACACAGCGACAGCTCAGTGAGGAGGAGCGAGGCCGACTCCGGGTGAGGCTCCTACAGCTGAATGGGCTCGGTGCCTAGCTTAGCCAGCCTTGCCCACGAGAGAGCCCGGAACAGCTGTCATTAGACTGCAGGCTCCTTTCAAGTGTCAGCCTTGTCTCGGGTGGGCTCTGTCCTTGTTCCCACCAGAAGCTGCCATGCTGCAGTTTTACTTCTGCCCAGTGTGAGATTGTCAGGCAAACTTGCTTTGTTGTAGTGGCCCTGTGCTTGGATGCCTTCTGGGTGCAGAAAGGCAGCAAGAGGCCTGCTGTCTGCCTCTCTGCTTGCTCTCTGTGGGATTCTCTGTCCTAGCCTCCCCCACAGGCAACTATTTGTGGCACCTGGGTTTAGGTGTGTTTAGGGTGGGGATCAGGTATGGCTGGATCCAGGCCCAGGAGTGCTTGGATGCACATTGTAGCTGATGTGGTTGATGATGTCCTAAGTGGTGTCTCCACTGGGGTAGAGCAGCCCGGCTGTTTTAACCTCGCTTGGTAGATAGGCCATCCCTCTGGGAAGAGTTAGCCAGGGCTTGTGGAAGGTGCTGTGAGGACAAGGCTGGGAAGCACTCTCCTGACCAGCCTGGTGGGCAGGCACTCGTGCTCATGGGTCTCTGTATAACCTTCAGGATGTGGCTGCTGCCAGTGGCCTCTACAGGGTCCGGGTCCCAAGGCGGCCCGGGACACTTGACGGTTCAGAAGCTGGCGGCCATGTGTCTTCCTTTGTCCCAGCGGTAAGTCACTGCCTGCATCCTCATTCCTGCCTGCCTCAATGTCCCCAGCCTTCTTGGAGCCCTTCCTGTGGGGCCCTGAGGAACGTGAATGGCTGCAGTCAGTGATGGTCCCCAAGGGACCTGAAGATGGGGATGGGGTTTTAGAGAATGCTTGTGTGGGTAGCTCTCTGACCCCCACCTCACCCTGTCTTCCACAGTGCTCCCTGATGGAGTCACACCTCTCAGACCAGCTGACCTTGCATGTGGATGTCGCTGGCAACGTGGTGGGCCTGTCAGTGGTGGTGTACCCTGGGGGCTGCCGGGGCTCCGAGGTGGAAGACGAGGACCTGGAGCTGTTCAATACATCTGTTCAGCTGCGGCCTCCAGGCACTGCTCCAGGGTGAGAGCTGAAGGGAGACCAGGCCACTGGTGGCCTCAGGTGCCCAGGTACTGCGGCTCCGCCCTTACCTTGCCCATTCCCTCCCATGTTTAGCCCAGAGACTGCGGCCTTCATTGAGCGCCTGGAGATGGAGCAGGCTCAGAAGGCCAAGAACCCTCAGGAACAGAAGTCTTTCTTTGCCAAATATGTGAGTGTGGCTCCTTGACCCCCTGAGGTGGCCTGCGTCTCGACTGTGGGAGGCTGAGGGCTGTGGACCCCACCTGAGTTGTCC